CCGTCCCATCCCATCCCCCACTGGTTTTATGGAACTAATTAGGTTGTGGCAAAATTCCTTTAACAGGGATGCTCAGGACTCAATGCTGCATGTCATTGTAAGCACTTAATCCACTCCAGATAAGCAGAATTAAGCTGTACAATGAGGACATATTTCTAGTTATAATGAAAAGGGCTGAGCCATGAGCAGAACACACAGGGAGCCAGCAGTTGGATCCCATTTAATTTCAGAGACAGAGAAAAGGAGAAAAGGAGACAAAGGCAAAGAGAAACAAAGAGACCGAGGGAAACACAGCCGGGCCAGTTGGAGATGGAGGCGGCGCCCAGCCTGGAGCCCCAGCGTAGCTTCCATCCTCCCCCTAAACGTGGTTGTGCCCCTCCCCTGCTGGGGTCCCAGCCTCGCTCCTCCTCTCGGCTTACTCTGGGCCCCTGCCCTGACGCTCTGACGCCCACGGGTCTCCCTCCTCGTGCAGGCGAGCTCAGCAGCGGAGGGCCCCGGGGGTAGGACCCCTGAGAGATGGGACCGCTCCGTCCCAGCCGGGGCTTTCTTCGTCCATTATTCAGAGAACCCCGCAGCCCTCCTGAGCCTGGCCACTGCCAGGGGCGCTGCGGCAGGAGCCATGCCGGCAGGGGCACGGTGACTGCTGCTCCTGGTCGGCAGGAGGCCTGGCTGAGAGGGCTGGGGGTCAGGGGTCGGGGCATTTCCCCTGGAGAGCTCCTGGGAGTTGGCCAAGGCTGGGGGCCTGCGGGGCCTGTAGGGCCATGGAGCTCAGTCTGCCCGGGGTCTTCCCAGGAGGCCCAGGAGCAGGCTCAGTGCCCAGGCGACCAGGTGACCATGCCGCCCTTCCAAGCCCGCCTCTCCGGGCGGCCCTCAGCCCAGCCTGAGTCCATCCAGGCTGGAGGGGCCGTCTCCCCACGGCCTGTCTGTCCCCGTTTCCCTGTCTCCCCCATCCCTCCTCCCGTCTCCTGCCCCTCTCTGCCTTCCCTCACTGGGGCCCCTCGTCCCCGCAGTTCTCTCTGCCTTGCACCCTCCCTGCCTCTGTCTCACCATTTCTCTGCTGCTGCCCTGTTGTCCCTCCCAGTTCTCCCCTTCCTCCCTCTCTCCGCCCTCCCAGTTCATTCCTGTTGCCTCTTTTCCCTCCATTTTCTCCCTCTCTTGCCCTCTTTAAGCTTCAAGGTCTGACCCAAGAGAAGGACCTCTTTCTGTCTCCCCTTACTCTCCTCTCTGCTGCCTCCTTGCTCGGTCTCCCTAATTCTCTGTGGCCCAGAGGGGTCAGTGCTGTCCCCAAGGCGACACAGAGCATGTAGTGGGGGCCGCGAGGGCGGAGGGGGGAGCCCTAGAAGTGCTGGTGGGAGAGGCCTTGGGGCAGGGCCACCCCTCCTCTCCCTGAGTTCCACCTGCCACGGGTCTCAGGGTGAACGCGTGTTAGGACTCTGCTTCTGCCCTTCGCGGCCGGGCCCAGGGCCCAGGGACTCCCCACACGTGGGTCTGCCCTCCGGGGACTCCCTCTGCCTCCCAAGTCTCTCTCCCTCTGGCCCTGGTGTTTACTCCCTCCTCCACCCTGACCTAGACCGTGGGGGCTCAGAGGGCCCACGGAGGCCACCCCTCACTTCACAGGTGAGGAAGCCCATGGAGAATGGGGTGCCAGGTGAGGGGGCAGTGGGGGTGGCACGGCAGATTCATGCCTGAGGACGCCCCCCCGGCCCCCTGCTGGGGAGGGAACGATGGGGACATACTCCCGTGAAGGCAGGTCCTGATCTGTCCTCACACTGACTGCACACAGCAGGCGCTCAATGCCTGTTTGTTCAATACCTCAGTGGGCAGGAGAGAGGAGCAGGGAGACAAGGATGGTCTGCACAGCACCTCGTGCACCGCCGGGCCCCGCCAACACTGTGAGCTGTTCACCCCATCCAGCCCTGGTTTCCAGATGAGACAGGACAGTGACAGGGCCGGGCAGTGACCAGAGTGGGGAACCCAGGCCCCCGGCACCTGGCCACACTCGGTGCAGCCTGTCCGTACCTTCTGCAGCCCATGCTGACGACGCCTACAGGCGCATGTGATGTTGTCACACCTGCCAGGTAAGTGCGATCACCCACCGCGCAGAGGGAAGAACTGAGGCCCAGGGAGGTGACTCGCCCGAAGCCACCAGAGAGTCAGGGCGGAGCGGGAATCCAGGGCAGCGGGGGTGCCAGTGCCCGCCTCGCCCCGCTGGTCTGCATCACAGGACCAAGGCTGGCCTAGGAGTTCTGGCTCGTACCCCTCTCCTCCGTCCAGAGGGGACGTTATGCTTTCACAAGTCCCGGTGTATATACTCGCCTGGGCCCCAGCCCTGCCAGGGGTCTACAGGTTCTCAGTGGTCCTGTCTCTGGGAGGAAATGCAAGTGGAACATGAACCAGGAAGGAATTGCCGGCCCTGTCAGCCCTGCGTCTGCAGAGCCCAGCTCTTCCAATTATTCCAGGGGTGGGGGGCAGGCGTGTGGTTCAACGCGACCCTGCAGGAGGGCCAGCGAGAGGCCCGCAGGGACAGGGCCGCCAGGCCGCCCTGAGCTGGCTTTGCACCAAGGAGATGTGCTCTATCTGTTATCTGTTCAGGGGGTGGCTGCCTGAGCCCCCGCAGGGCCAGGGAGTGTGGGGCCTGGTATTGGACTTGGGTCCTTGGGCGATTTCCAGGGCAGAGCAGGGACCTGGAGCAGCCAGCCAGCTTCACTTCACTCGGAGGGAGAGCGGGTGGGGGTGCCGAGGGATGGGAAGAGGCCTCGCCTGGCCATGAAGATGCTGAACCTGGAAGATGGGTCCGTTGTACTCTCCTTGGGTTTGTTATGCTGGTCTCTGTACTTTTGTGTTTGTTTGAAACGTGAACTGACGCACTCCCAGTGTGGCCAGGCTGGGGCTGTCTCGCTGGCCTGGCAGCCGGGATGGGCACGGAGCTCAGCCCAGCAGGTCTGAGGCCCGGGTTCACCTTTGCAGTGACGGCCTGGTCACAGCAGGGACCGTGTTGGTGGCCTGGGTCCTCAGTGCCCAGCACAGGGCCTGGCACGCCACTGGGGCTAAATAAAGGCTTCTCTGTGGGGTCAGTTTGCCAGGACAGGGCGAGGGAGCTGCGGGAGCTGCAGGTGCTGCAGGTGCTGGGGGTGTGCCGGGAGCTCAGGTGCTCAGCAAAGCCATTGCTTTACCGTAAGAAATGGAGAGTCTGTGGCTGCCTCTGTCCTTCCGGGACAGAGTCCGTGCAGGCTGAGCGACTGTCTTGGCTGCAGCACCAAGTGGCTAATCTGTTATTTCTCCCACCGTCACCGGTCCCTCATTGGTCTGCAACCCTCTCCCTCGCTGGGCCAGCTTTCTCACCTCAGACTCAGGAAACTAACAGGTTAGGCACCAATTATTTATAACAAACAAAAAACCCCGGCCCTCCTAGAGTTAAAAAGAAGATATGGCCGGAAAGGGTGAGCATTCTCAGGCCCAGGCTGAGGCAAACCTTCTCTGCAAACCAAAATAATTCGTGGAAAGGGTTTTAGGTCTAGAGACACCACAAAGAAGCACCATGGAAAGGTGCTTTTGCAGACGAGGGCTGATGGGATCCTGGATCATCGGTGAGCGGAGCCCTGAGGCAGCTCAACCCCAGGCAGCGGGCTGGGTGGGAGGGAGGGAGGCCGAGAGGTCAGGGCCAGGACCACCCAGGCTCTGACTCGGGCTGAGGAATTTGGATGGTCTTGATGGGTGACCTTGGGCAAGTCACCCCAGATCTGAGCCCAGTTCCCCATCTGTGTCTGCCCTCGCAGGGTGGTAGCAAGAATCCTATGAGAGTGACACAGGGCTCTTGGAATGGAGCGAGGCCGGAAAGTATTAGCTGTTGTAATGAGGATGATGTTTCCTTGGCTCCCCCAGGTCGCCTGACGTGAGCGAAGTCTAACTGGAAGGGTAGAGAGAGGCGGACATAAGCACTGACTTCATCTCCTCCTGGAACTCCATTAAGGTGACAGGACAGAACTAACAGTGACCACGAGAACAAGAGAGGAGCCGGGGGGAGAGGGGCTGACCTAGTGGGCGGAGTGGCTCCGTGTCTGTGGAGGCGAATTGCCAGATGTGAGCAGGGTCTCCCACGGAGCCCAGACATGCTCAGGACTCAGACACCAGATGTTAAGGAAGGTGAGGGCGGGAGTGGATTAGAAAGAAGGGGCCGGTGGGAAGTCAGCGTGGGAGCTGACAGATGCCCTGGTGCCCCTTCCCAACCCCTCCCTCTCCCTGACCCCTCCCAGGAGGCCAGGAGGTGGTGCACCTTCTCCAGGCACAGAATCAGAGGGACTGACTCGGAGACCCGAGCAGCTGGGCCCCACAGCACGAAGGACGGAGAGCCTCTGAGTAACAGGCCTCTGGAAACGGGCGTTGGGAGCCTCCCCCAAAGTGGGCTTGCTACCCGGTCACCCAGGCGAAGCCCACAGTCAACAAGCCGTGCCCCCGAGCGCCAAGGCCCACGGCTTCCCATTGGGTACTAGTACCTGGAAGGACCCTCAGGAACAGACAGAAGAACCTGGAGAAGCAGGGCAGGCAGGCAGCTGAGTGAAACTGAAGCCATCGAGTCAACAAGACAACAAACGGCGACAGGTGTGAAGGTAACAGCCAGGAAACCTCTCAGAGCAACAAAAGGAGATAGAGAACAAGAAATGATAGGTAAGGACTGAGGGTCCATCCTGGGAGTCAGCATATCTGACAGAAGTTCCAGAAACAGCACCCAGTAAACCCTCGATTTTGCGGACTTCGTATTTATTGGACAGAATTTCTGGTCTGTATGTCATATGTGAAAATTAACACCCTGTTACTTTTAAAATGCTTTTAACCAAGAATTGCTTATAATTAACAGCTTATTTTTGGTTACTAATTCACTGTTACTTTTAAACAAATTTTAGCGAATAGGCCATATGTTAGAAAAGACATTGTAGTAATTCTGCCTACATAAGTATTACATATCCACAACGGTCTGCATATTTAAATTCAGGGCCACCGCTTGTAAACAACATTCGGCTAATTAGCACGTGATCACACCGAGTCTCAAGTGGTAATTGGTGCGTGGTAATGGGTTCTGTCCTCTCTGGCGTGACCTTCTGCAGCAGTTTTAACGCGTGCCGGCCCATGTTCCCACGTGTGTTAAGCCACGCCCCAGCCGTGTGCATTTATTGTCATGGAGTGACTGGTGAAGGCACGCACTTACTAGACCTAGTCAGTATAAATTTAAAATTGCTGCAATTCACATAGAAGACTTTTCTTTGAAATGAAACTTTTCAGACAGACTTAATTTTAGTTACACAAATTTGTCTACATGAGTAAAAACAGGTAAACTAATCTGCCAATTTTTTAAGATGTGCATTCGGAAAACTCACTTTATGATATAACGGACTTTGGACTTTAATGAGCATCCCCTCACCTGACTTAGTCCGTAATATTGAGGTTTTACTGTAAATGAAGGAAGTTATCAAAGAAATATCGTAAGAAAATTTTCAAAACAGAAGGATGCAAGCATCCAGCTTGCCAGGGCTCACTGATGCCCAGTGTAAGGATGAACCAGAGACCCTCCCCAAGGAGGGAGCCTAAAAGGAGGGGGAGGAAGAGAAGGAGAGAAAGAAGCAAAGCCCCGTACTGCGATATGGATCAAAATGCCATTGGATTCCTCAGAGCAGCACAGGAGGATGAACAGCAAAAGTCTTAAAACCCCGAATGAAAACAATTTCCAACCGGGATTCTGTGCTCCGCTACACTATTAATCAAGGGTGACTGTAGAATAGAGAGATTTCAGACAGGCCAGAACTACAGAAAGAGAAGCATTTTCTGCGCAGCATTTTTCAAAACGTTACTGGGGATTGAGCTCCACTGACCAGGACTGAAGACACCGGTCTTGCCAACAAGGAACCCGAGCAGGTCAGGCAGAGGCCAGGTGGACAGCTGTGCAGC